TAAGTGATTTTGTATGTAGCGACGTCAATAATAGGTCACTTAAAAAACCGACCCGTCACTTCAAAAATGTAGTGGCAATATAACTGAAACGCGCACTCGACAAAGATGTATACGATGCAAAAACCCCAGTCTTTGGGGAAGTGTCTTCTTACATATTGTATATAAATACATCTTCAAGAAGTGAGTGAAAATTGTCAAAATAATAAGAGTAGCTGAGTAGCACTCGGCTCGTAGTCAACTCAACGGATATTGTCCGAACTTGACCACCGCTAATGGTAGAACTAGTCGTTTTGCGGTGTGTTTGATATTCTAAATTCGATACCAGCGCAAAACTAAGTTACGACTCATGTCGGTTTGAACTGTCCGAGAAGAGAAGTATCATCTGCGTTTGGTCAACTCGCGTCTCATAACACAACCCCATTAGATACCATCCCGATTGGGGTATGTCGCACCACCCCGAGTCAGTCATAAAATGTTACATTTAATGTATGTCCGAGGGGGAACTGTCACTTTGCGGTATGTGCACTTCCAAATATAAGATGTAAAGGGACGAGTTATACTTCTGCCAGGGGATGCCACCCCTCAAATTCTCCTGCCACCCTCTTGCCACCCCATGAATATTTGTCTAGATCCGCCCCTGAGCCTACCTGCATCTACTTTCACAAATTTGAACATACTGCCCTCATTTATAATGGAAACGTAGGTTTACCTCTGAAATGAAGATGTATAAAAAATGTATAGGCTATTGGAATATGAGTTGAGTACTAAATTACTACTGCAGTAGTACAATACAATAAGAACACACAATTCTTAACTCTTGATTTAACTTAAATAGCTGACTTTGTTTTGACATTTCTTTAATAAAAATCCCAAATATATGAATATTATTGGTCTAATCTTGTCCTTTAAACTGTGTACTTGCGGGCAGCATTAAACAATATCAGTAGAAGTGTCATTGAGTTCAGCTCCTTGTCGTCAGTGTTTTGTTGCTTGTGGTTTTCCTGCACAGGATCCAACACTGGCATTGGCAAGTCCACGGCTCTGGACCTGGCAAAGAGAGGAGCCAGGGTGATACTCGCCTGTCGCAACAAGCACAAAGCTGAGGCTGCTGCCTTCGACATCCGTACAGTAAGTCCTGCTGATGCTCTAGGCCAGTGGTTCCCAACCTTTTTTCCCAAGAGCCCCCCCAAATGACTCCTGTTGGAAGTTGCGCCCCCCCCCCCACACACACAATACCAAACAGATCATGCATTTTAGCCATTCCTCATTTCGCTCAATTTAACACTGTCTTTTCATGGGCTGACTCTGTGAGAACAGCACCATCTACAGGCCTGGCATATGTACTACAGCGTCTCCAGCGCTTTCGAACGGCAATGTCCGTGGCTGTCTCCTCCTGATTGGTGGAGTTGGCCCAATAGCCGTAGCGCCACTTTTGTGACGTCATAGAAGTGTTCAAATCTGGATCAGTCTGTATCAGATCCGTTGCAGCCCCTTTTTAAGAGATTTGGGTATGGAGGAAAAGAGAGAGGGTTGTGTTTTCTGACACTTGGTGAGTTCCCTGGAACACCGGGGACACATATTCATGTATAAAAGACGTACAAAAGTGCATTTTGCATGATAGTTCTTACGAAGACCTAGGTACGACCTGAAAGATTTACGAACACCAAGGTAATATTCACTACACCATTTTCACAGAATGAAGGGGGTGTAATAATGTTTACACGCTCCGATACTCATTTCAGTTGACACTCGATTGTTTCCAGTACACTAAATAAAGAGAGAGTGCAGTCGTAACGAGTCAATTAATCCCTGTTGATGTTATTTGTATCAGAATGATTGTTATTTAGGTGAAAAAACTCCAAAACAAAAGGTCAATTCGGCTGTGAAAGTGCTAATCAATTATGGTTGTCGACCTTAATAGTCTACTGATACATACCTCAACCCACGTACGCAGACACAGATGAATCGGTCTCGTCATCCAAAGGTTGGACCGCCCTCCTCCGCCGGTTTCCTAACGTCCCCCCCGCGGTCCGGGAGTCTACTAAATACTCCGGTTTTAGTATATAAATCTGAAAAAAAAAAAATGTATATTAACATTCGTATGTACTAACAGTGATTTTCGGAGCAGGAATGTAGTGTCTATTTTTATTTAAGTAATTAGTAAACTATGTTTAAGTGATCATGATAATATCCGTATTTTTTCTGTCTTTACATATTAAGAAAGA